CACATCTACAGCTCACAGCATTTCTCAGTTCTTGTCCTATGATCATTTGTCTCCCTCCTATAAGTCTTTTCTCGCATCCATTGTTGATATTCCCATTCCCAGAACAATATAGGAAGCATTGGAAGTGCTAGAACGGAAAGATGCAATAAAAATAGAAATGGATGCCCTCATCAAAAACAATACCTGGGAGATAGCTGATCAACCTAAAGGAAAGAAACTGGTTAAATGTAGATGGGTATTCACTGTGAAACATAATGTTGATGGTTCTGTTAAAAGGTATAAGGCCCGGTTAGTTGCAAAAGGATTTACTCAGACATATGGTATTGACTACTTAGAAACTTTTGCACTAGTAGCAAAGATGACCACTATCAGAGTACTATCATCTCTTGCAGCTAGTTACTCTTGGCCATTGTATCAGATGGATGTTAAAAACTCCTTTCTCAATGGAGACTTGCAGAAAGAAGTTTACATGCAGTTGCCTCCAGGATTTTATGGTATGGAGAGAGGAAAGGTTTGTCGGTTGAACAAAGCTCTATATGGACTAAAACAGTCCCCCAGAGCATTGTTTGATAGATTCAGACAAGCCCTTGATAGGTCTGGATATGTGCAGGCTCAGTCAGACCACGCTTTGTTTATCAAGAGAGTGGGTTCCTCCGTAATCTTGCTTGCCATGTATGTAGACGATATTGTAGTAACCGGGAATGATACTAGTGAGATTGAGTCTCTTAACCAACTCCTTCATCAAGAGTTTGAGGTAAAAGATCTGGGGGAACTACGATACTTCTTAGGCATTGAAGTAGCTAGATCCAAGCATAGGATTTTTGTCTCTCAACAAAAGTATGTTCTTGATCTACTAGAAGAAACAGGAAAGTTGGGAGTTAAGCCTATGGACACACCTATTGAACAAAACCACAGGATTAGTGCAGAGGGTGGAGAGCCTATTGAAGATAAAGCTATGTTTCAATGGTTAGTTGGAAAACTTCTCTATCTTTGCCTCACATGACCTGACATCAATTATGCAGTTAGTGTAGTTAGTCGGTATATGCACTCTCCTAGAACTACTCACCTCCTTGCGGTTGAAAGGATATTAGCATATTTGAAGAGGTCCCCAGGCAAAGGCATTTTGTTCAAGAAAAATGACCATATGAAGATAGAAGTCTACATAGATGTTGATTGGGCTGGGTGTGTTGATGACCGAAGATCTACCACTAGATATTGTGCCTTTGTAGGAGGTAATCTGGTCTTCTGGAAGAGTAAGAAACAAAGTGTTGTTTCTCGTTCAAGTGCTGAAACTGAATATAGGTCCATGGCAAATGGTGTGGCTGAGATTCTATGGTTGAGTTCATTACTTGAGGAATTGGGTATTGTTTATGATATACCCCTAATGTTGTACCGTGATAATCAGGCTGCCATCAATATAGCCCATAATCCAATACAGCACGAGAGAACTAAGCATATCGAACTGGACCGGCATTTTATCAGAGAAAGGGTTACATCTCAAGAAGTATGCCTTTCCTACATCACCTCCGACATGCAGCTTGCAGACCTACTCACCAAGGTTGTTTCAAGAAAGAAGTTAGAAGAAGATCTATGCAAGTTGGGAATGACAAATATCTACTACCCAACTTGAGGGGGAGTATAGGAAACTATGGATCCCACATTAAGTGTATTCGTGTGGCACCCTGAGATGTACTTAGACTTAAATCGATTAGGATCAGCTTTCCTAGTAGGATTAGTTTTATTCTATCTTATCTAGGATTAGTTTTATTTTAAACTTATCTTTTATTGCCATGTAAGCATTAAAGTTCTTTTACAATTAGAAGACTATGTATATAAATTAAGGAGTGGGGCGGTTGTTTTAAACACACACCAACAATTGTCTTCTCCTAAAACCCTTCCACGAGTTCTTCTCCATCTCTCTTCTCTTCTCTTCTCTTCTCTTCTCTTCTAATTTTCTTTTATTTTCTATTCAAATCTGTAGTCTTGTACGACTTACTCATTTCAATTTGACATTTGAATTATATTTGTTATTTATGTAGGAATGCATGTTATTTGGGCTTTCTAATTGGGTTAAGCCCAATAGAATGGCCCAAACTATATTAGAAACCAGAGCAAACGGTAATAGAATGGTTTAGTCTGGTTTGGTTTCTATACTAAAAATAGTTGGTTTGGTTTGGTTTTAGAATTTCTCAAACCATAATTTACTGGTTTTGGTCTGGATCTTTTCCAAACCGGACCGTGAACACCACTAATGATACCACTTTGACCCAACTTGATATTCATTTCAAAATGCAGTTAAGCATTTGCTTTTGTTGTGTAATACATTATTTAGTCATTGATCTATTAGAACCATTTGCATTTTCTATGAGTTTAAATTTTGTTTTAACTTATTTTATCATGTATTTTTGAATATTAAGGTTTATAGGACAACTTCAGAACATATTCTTTTGTCTACAACCTCAGAACAAGATAATAATTTAAAATGGTGTGTTTGTGCTTCTTTTATCTTTTCATAAAACATCATTCTATATTTTTTGCATATTTTACAATGTTTCTACCATGTCTATAATTTTTACAATATTTCCATGCGATATTTCCAACATTTCCGACATGTTTCCTATATTTGGACAACCGACATTTCCATCAACACCAACATTTTAAACATTGGATGAAACCACTTTATTTGGATAATGGGCCTAAATGCTTGTAACCTGAACAATGAAAAGAAGTGCAAAGGAAAATCAGCATCTTTGCAAAAAAATTTAATTAGATACCTCATCTTCTTCATTGTTATTGCATGTAGAATAAATTTGTCATCTTGAAGACTTCTTCAAATGATCAGTTGTCGGGATGCTATCCAAATCCACCAATCAAGCAAAAGCTTCCACACCTGGAGGAATAGGGTTATCTCAAATCCCTCCAACATTAGAATAGTTTACTTGATTCTGAATGAGAGTGATATAATATAGTTTAACCGAGAATCACCCATTACAGCACTCTTTCCACCATCTTATATCACTCTCCCAAGGCAAAATCTGTCCCACCTCAAGTTTGCTCAGTAATAAAATATGCTCTTCAATCTCCCAAAAGAAAAAAGAGAATTTTGGGGATTTCACCTAGAGAGGAGGCACAGGTGAAGGAGGTCGGTGGTCAAGAAGTTACTGAAGTATCTCTAAATGGGAAAGTGGAGATCATTAAGTTAGTGGAAAGGGAGGTGACAGTGGGTAAATCACTTGGTCTGTTCTTTTGGGGTGGGGAAGGTTTTGCAAAAGTTGCCTTTAAACAGTTTGAAATAAATAAAAGAGAGGAAAAATTAGAAAAAGAACTGAGAAGAATAAGGACTGGGACGAAGAAGGGGGAGAAGAGAAGTTCTTAGGAGAGAACGAATGAGAGTTCGAAGACTCAAGAATATTGAGGGAAGTTTGGGGGCACAAGGTCAGAATGGAATTGGTAAGAAAACTGAATTGAGAACACAATTAGAGGTGGGTTTTCTGCAGAAAATAAGTCTGGAAAGCTTTCATGCGAGTCTGAAGGGTGATCAAAGGGATATGGACAACGGAGAGCTAATCTTGAAGGCTTACTAGTTTTCAGGGCAGTTTTGGGGGGAGAGTTCTTGGGATGTATTTGATCTACAAGTTTGTAATGTTGAGTTTTTCTCTGCTGATTAGCTTATGCGGTGTGTCATCTTGACACCCATTGAGGTTGTAATACTTTTTATTTTTAATGAAATCTATTTTTATTTATTCTTCAAAAAAAACACCATAATAAGGCAACCAGATTTTTTGGGAAACAGAACTGTATTTCAAACAGCACCAAAAACATTGACCACAAACTCCTTACAACTCTACAATGAATAAACAGATGATCTGAATCTTCAGAAACATCCCCACACATTACACACCTGCTGGGCTCTACCCTCAGACCTCTCCTTGCCAAAACATCTGTTGTTAAACACTTCCCCCAAAGCTGCAGTCCATAACAGAAAAGCAACCTCTGGAGGAGCTACAGTGTTCCACATTCTATCTTCTGGAAAGCAATTTATCTTCTCTTCAATCAGCTTGTTATAGAAGGATCTGACCATGAAACTTCCTGCTTTGTCCCATTTCCATATTCATTTGTCCCTCAACATCAGGTGTAATGGTGCAGATTTTCTGCATCAGCTCCATCCACTGCCCTATCTCTCAATCATTCAGGTTCCCTCTAAAAACTGGACACCAATCACCTATATTTCCTTCCTGTTACCACACATTCTTTATTCTGTGCAATCTCGGACAGAGTGGGCAAAACTTTCTTCAAGGGGTCAATCTCCACACCAAATATCAGCCATAGTTGTATCCTCATACCATCTCCCACCACATACTTTGATCCCTCTTCTAAATTCAAGTAGAGATTTCTGAATGCCCCCCCCCCCAAAGTGCACACCCTAGGACATATTTGTCTCTGCAGAGTATTTGTCAATATTTGCTTTTGCCTTTGCTTTTTAGAGTGTCAATAGATTAGAGTATTTTTATAAGTTGTCTTAGATTTCTGTTCTGCTTGAAAGTGGTTTGGGTTCAAAGCTAAAACTGATTCTGGATGAATGTACCATGACAATTATATCTAAATAGATTTTCTCTTAATAATATAGAATGTTTTCAAACCACTAGTAATTTCCTTCCTAGATCACCTAGAAAATGGGAAAGAAAAGATTGAGAAATCAACACTGTAATACTTGTGTATCTCTTTTTCTATGTTGTACAACTTCTCATGTACTTCCTCTTTTACTTATATCTAACAAAATCTCTCTCATCTTCTTTGATCCTTTGAGTGCAGTTGTAAATGCAAAAGCAAAGGAAAAAAGCATTCATAGACACCAGATCATACAATTTTGGTAGCATAGCTCTTTGCTCCTCTAGTTTTTAAATTATACTATGCTTAAACAGGAAAAGAACAAACAAAACTCACTAATTATCAATTTCTATTTAGAAATTCTCCAACAAATTGGTCTAGATCAACTATACCTGCCAGACCCCAACCAAACTTGAGATGCCCCTCCTCCATTGTAGCGATAACGATAGATGTAGTCCCCCTCTTGTTTTCTCATTTCTTCCTCTGAAAGCTCAGGAATTTTGCCATACATCAGACTATCAAGATCAATTTCCTTGTTCCTAGGGTCCATCCTGACCTGCAAAGTAGCAAGCACAAAGCAATTTTGAGATTACAACAACCTAAAATCTAATGAAGACAGTGAAATTTAAGTTAACATGGTTTCAGAAAACCAATATCTACATTTGATGAGAGACAAATTGATCTCATTACCATTTGAAATTGACATACATAAAGGCATTTTAAAATGGCCAATGCATAGTGATATAAATTTGAAGATGTAGATTATATACCTTATCAAAATTGACAACAAAAATCGCACTAGGTACAGCTTTGTCCATCTCAACTTCTGAATATCTACCCTGATCTATGTCAAATATGTAGGAATACAACCTATGAAATACTGGCTCAACAGCAGTAGCATTCACCTCAAATAGAGGGACCTCCCTTCCGTAATCAGTCTAAAAGTTGCAATAAAGTTATTAGGTTCCATTCAAAGACAAACCAAAGGTGTAATTATCAAAAATAAAAGGACAAAAAAGGTAGAAGTACAGACAAGATAACAAAAAATTAGAATGGCAATTACCTCTCTAGCAGTTGCAGCAAGAACCATAGCCTCCTTCAGTGCTTTCTCAAGTGCTATTAGTTCTGGCTGCCCAACCTACATTTAGAAAACATATCAAATGGAAATTTGGAATAAAGAAGATGCATTAAAATAGGGAACATATGAGAAGCGGAACTGAGTTTTAACCTGCATCTCCTTTTAATCGCTAACCAGCATCTAGTAAGTAACTGTTATGGACGCATTCGTGGGGAAGAAGTACCGCCGCCGGCAGCAGCAGTAASGWGGGACCCTCATCAGATTRTCTAGCTAGCCACAGTTCATCTTACCTTATCCTTATCTTATCTGCTTTCTTACTCTTATCTTATCTGTTCTAATAAGGATTAGTATAGAGTCTGATTTATCTTGGGGAGTTTTTATCCTTCTTGAGTTGGGAGTCTTATCTAGGAGTCTTATCCATCTTATCTGTAAGCAGTTTAGTTATCAAGGAGTCTTCCTACATGGAGGACTCTTACCTCTTGTAATCTCCTATTTAAGGAGCTGAAATTATTGAATAAAGATATCAAATTTCCAGTCAAGAAAGAGAGTAAAATGAGAGTTCGGTGATCTCTTGGACAAATCACCCTCTCTCTTGGACAAATCACCCTCTAGGACGCCAAGATAGGTTCAGCTAGGAAGGGGAGGAACAAGGGAAAACAGGAGCTTTTCCCCGTGGACCGACCCATGACGAGATCCTATTCCCGGGCCCATAACAGTAACCCATATAAAAGATTGAAAATAAAAAAAAAAAGGAAACATGGTAAGCTTGATTCAGTTTGAGCAGCTTCAGGAACATAATGTTATGGATTGGACAGACTATTACCATGGTGTGAAATGTGAGAATTTAATTCATTTCCTGATCCAAAGTTCCACTAAACAGCAACAACAAAATATAATGTTTTTTTATCAGCACAACAAAATACAATGCTTCAATGGTAAAAGTAGATAATTCAAGTGTTTCAAGGTAGGAGGGTAAATTGTAGATGTACATTTTAAAATGATTTTTAAATACTAAGATGGACACTTTTAAAATTTATTCAACTCAAGTATAGGCATTATCCAGTAAGAAGAAGCGATAATGTTGCAAGTTGAAGGGGCTAGAAGTACTTGGGGCAAACCAAAAAGGACATGGGCTGAAGTACATAAGAATTGACCTAAGAACTCATAACTTGACAATGGACGTGGCACTGAACAAAAATGGATAATCGTCTTTTCCAAAGGCCCTACTAATCACTTTATTTTGCAAGATGGCTCTCTTTCAGGGATAATCATCTCTGTATCACTCTGTGTTCGTTGTGAGAAGCCATTATCATTGAAGATCATGGTAATGGTCACGGGCCACTTTGGAAGACACAAGACACTTGCTCTTGTGCAAGAAAATTTCTACTGGCCTTGAATGAAATGTGATGGTTACGAGGCATGTGGAGCGTTGCAGAACATGTCACATTGTTAAGAGCCATGGCTAAAATACAACATTATATACACCTCTTCCCCATACAAATGCACATTGGGAAGATGTGAGTATGGATTTCATAGTTCATTTGCCATGTATCCAGAGAAAATAAGAACCTAGTCATGTTGGTTGTTGATCAGTTCTCCAAAATAGCACATTTTATACCCTATAACAAAACTTTGGACGTAATTATCAAATAAAAAATTAAAAAAAAAAAAAACAAGATTTTGGATGCCTCTAATGTAGCTGATCCTTACTTCAAGGAGGTTGTCAAACTCCATGACATTGCTAGAACCATAATTTCGCATCGAGACTCTAAGTTTATAAGCCAATTTCGGCACACACTTTTGGTGGAAGTTAGGAACTAAACTGAAGTTTAGTTCTTCTTGTCATTAAAAAATAGATGGCCAAATTGAGGTTGTAAATCGAAGTTTGGAAAATCTCTTGAGAAACTTAGTGGGGCAAAACATCCAGCAATGGAATCTCACCTTATCTCAAGCTGAATTTGCCTACAATTGCTCTTCTAGTCAAACCATTGGATGCAGTCCTTTTGAAGCTTTTTTTTTCATTTGAAGAGTAAGGAAAAAAAAATATTAAAATAAAATGTAAGTACAAACTGGTTGCCTCGTTGGATGTCAATATGGAAAAGGTTCACATTACAAGCTTGAATCTTTGAGAACATCCCTAAAATTTTCCACCAAATCTGAACTGTTAAGGCCATGTTTGGTTCATGCCCTGGGCCTCATTCTTTTAATTCTTGCTCATTCTGGGCAAGAATGAGAAAGAATGAATAACATTAGAGTGCTTGGTTACAAAATTCTTGCCATGGCCACATTCTTTTTAGAATGAAAAATCAGCCCATGGCACAAAAATTGAGGTAGCCTGCAGCATGAAAAATAATCATGCCCCATCTTGCTCATTTTCATTCTTTGAGGAAAATATGCCTACAAAACTGCTGCCATAAATGTTTACTAGTGGACTACCATGGAAGTACTTTTACAAAAGCACTTTTATAAACAAAAGTACTTTTACGAAAGCATTTTTGTAGAAACACTTTCATGAAAGTACTTTATAAAAGCACTTTTACAGATGTACTTTTAGAAAAGCACTTATACAAAAGTACTTTTATAAAAGCACTTATACAAAAGTACTTTTATAAAAGCACTTTTACAAAAGTACTTTTATAAAAGTACTATTACAAAAGCAATTTTAGGAAAGCACTTTTATCAAAGTATTTTTATGAAAGCTCTTTTACAAAAGTATTTTTACAAAAGCAATTTTACAAAACACTTTTACAAAAGTACTTTTACATAGGAGATAGGACACTTGTCAGTCTGAAAAGAATTCATTTTTAGGAAAAAAGCGTTTGGTTCATAGTAATATTTTCTCATTCTGCCTATTTTACCCATTCTTGTCCATTTTGGAATTTCATCTTGGGTAAAAATTAGAAAGATTGAGAATTGAACCAAACATAGCCTAACTTGCTCGAACTCTGGAAGAACCAAAACCCAGCTTGTGACAAGCTTTCCAACCGATGCCACTAAATCTACAATGCACTTTGCCTTATTTTCAAAAAGCCTTTTATTCCTTTCTTTCCAATTTATCCAGAAAATTGCAAAGGGAATACAGCTCCAAAGGTGTTTTTCTTTCTTGCTTCCTCTGAACCTTGGCCAAGAAGAAAAGATTTCTGCTAGTGAGGAAGGCTGGAACACCAGTATACCAAAAAGGAAGGAGTAGAACTTCCAGATGAAATTTGCCACTTTACGGAAGAGAATAGGTGCCATACAGATTCCTCATCCCTATTACATAAATAACAATAGCTAGCCATGCTAAAACCTCTGCATTTCAAGTGATCTATTGTTAGGATATTGTCCAAGGCAACTAGCCAAGCAAAATGCTTCCACTCTAGGGAGGACTGGATTCCCCAACACTCCACCTACTTGGTCAGAATCCAAATTCTCTTTGATCAAAGCCAGATAGGACTTCACTGAGAATTTTTCATCCCTACACTCCTTCCACCACAAACCATCACTGGAAGACATTGAAATTCTGAACTGCTCTAAATCTGTCCAACAGTAGGATACATTCCTCCACCTCCTGACCCAATAAAGATCTTCTGAATTTGGGGCACCAAGCCACCTGATCATCTCTAACCTCATATAGCATGAGCAATCACTAATTGTTGTTCAGCCAACCTATACAGTCTTGGGCATAGTTCACACTTCACACAGCTTCCCAACCCCACTCGTTCATCTTTCTAAAACCTTACACTAGCCCCTTCCACATTAAATCTACCAAGCCCCTTAACTCCTAGTTGAACTTCACAATGCCTTTCCAAACACATACCCCATAAGAGCTTGACACCTCTCTTGGTTTCCACACAAACCTTACCACCTCATACTTCCCTACCATCACTCTCCTCCATAAAGACTCCCTCTCCCTATCCAACCCAAACCTCCAAAGCCATTTACCCAGGAGGGAAAGCATTTATTCTTCTAAACCCCAATCCCCCTATCTCTTTCCGCCTGCAAACCTTTTACCACTTTACTAAATGAAACTTCTTAGTTCCCCTTGCCCCTTCCCAAAGGAAATCCCTCTGTATTCTCTATCTTGTTGGCCACATCTGTTGGGATCTTCAACAATGAGAGGTAGTAGATAGGTGAACTCGACAGCACACTCTTAAGGAGGGTAATCCTACCTCCCAGTGAGAGGTATTTTGCCTTCCACTTTTCCAACCTCATCTCCACTCTCTCTATAAGAGGTCTCCATATACAAAGTAAGGCTGATTTAGCCCCAACCGGGAGGCCGAAATAGGAAAAAGGTAATTCCCTAATCTGGCATTCCAAGGCTTCTGCAAATTGCACCATCTCTTCTTGACTAATCTTCCCAATTCTAATCATAAGACTTTTTTCCAGGTTCACTTTCATCCCTGTCAGCATCTCAAAGTTGGCCAAAATTGCTCTTAAATTTAACACCTGATCCGCATCTGCATCTAGGAAGATAAGTATATCATCAGCATATTGTAAGTGAGAAATGCATGGACCTAGGGATGGCAATTTTCCTCATACCCATTGACTACCCGACCTCCCTGACCCGATGGGGTCGGGGATGGGGATTGTTTTGGCAGGGTGGGGACAGGGATGGGAATTAATAGCGATCCCCAATCAGGGTCAGGGCCAGCCCCAACCCCAACTATATATATTAGATATTACTTATATTAAAAATATATTATTTTATATATAAATATGATATTATTTATATTATATATATATCAAAATATATTCTAAATATTATTTATATTTTAAATCTTTTCTTTATTTTAATTTTTTTTATTTTTCAAAAATACTGTTAATTTAAAATTTTCATGGATTCAAGTCCCCGCGAATAGGGGTGGATTCGAGTCGAACCAAGCCAAATATCTGGTTATTCGATCTTAGGTCGCCAAAAAATGTTAGGCTTGAACTTGATTTGAGTTAGAGTCTTGAGCCTGAAATTCGGCTTGGCTCAAAAGTTCGTACGTTCGAGCTTGGCTCACCTCGAGCTCAATCCATTGTGAGAAATTCCTCTTATCTCTTTGGCAAATTTCTTAGAGTGGTAAGCTTCCCCTATCCAAGTTCTCTCTCATGTCTCTCTCCTCAATCCATTGTGAGAAATTTTCTAGTATCAAGAAGGTAAATTGTAGATGCACATATTATCATAATGGAACGTTGAAGAATCTATATAAATATATTAAGCTGAAATGTGTACGTAAGAAGGCCTAAGGATGAAGGAAATGGAATCTAACAGTATTTTTTGCCTTTTTTTCTTAGAAATCACAAGAATGCCACTCCCTACCAACTCTCTCTTTTGTTTTTTTCTTTCAAATTACAAGAATGCCACTCTCTCTCTTACTTTTCTTTCTTTCAAATTACAAGAATGCCACTCTCTCTCCTACCAACTCTCTCTCTCTTTCTTATAAATTACAAGAATGCCATCTCTCTCTCTCTCCTTATAAATTACAAGAATGCCACTCTCTCTCCAACTGAGGGACACCTCAACTCGGCATCTCGACTGCTAGGGAACCTACAATCAAAGGTAGTCGAGTTCGAGCGAGCCGAGTTCGAACTTTTGAGCTTATGTTCAAGTCTCTAATTCGAATTGAGCTCGATCTAGGCGACACCTCGACCACTGAGGGAGACCTCGGCTTGGCACCTCAGTCACTAAAGGAGATCTTGGCTCAACACCTCGACAATTGAGGGAGACCTCAGCTCGACACCTTGTCAACTAAGGGAGACCTTAGCTCGACACCTTGCCTGATAGGGAAACCTCAGCTCGACACTTCAGCAGCTGAGGGAGACCTCGGTTTGGCACCTTGGCAATTGAGGGAGACCGCAGCTGCTTGAGAGACCTACAATCAAAGGTAACCGAGCTCGAACTTCCGATCGTTTGGCTCGAGCTATGCTCGAGCTTGAGCTAAAGTCTCTAATTCGAATCGAGCTCTAGCCTAATAGTTTATGAGTGAGGCCCTGCATTGCATGGCCCCCTCCGCTAGTAATAAAACAAAACCAAAAACTAACATAATGGTTGAGATACAGGCAATTTATTTGCAGGAAACTTAAAAAAAAAAAAACCTCAAGCATCTTGGACATCTTAGCTACAAAGTAAGAAGCTTACAGGAAATGCATTATAAATAATATGATGTTCAATATCAAGTGGCTCCCCTGTTTCCAAGCAAGCTGGTCTATGAGATGGGAAGCTGCTTCTGAGAAACTCTTCCAGCTTGTGCGAATCTACCACATACCTATAGCCCCCATCTCCATTGAAGCCAACGAGGACAATATTAACTTCGAGTGGGACCTGGAAAGGAACCTGCATGACGGTAATACTGTTTAGTCCATCCATCAAATTCTAAAGAACCAAATGCTTATACGTATGATTTCTTTAATTTTTCGAACCAAAGTAAGAAAACAAAAAGGTAAATAACTGAAATCGAATGGCGAAAGAGAAACAATTACCTCAGTCCGGGAATGAAGCATTCGTCGGACATCAGAACGAATGCTGTCTTTGATGTCGTGAAAGGCTCCATGATGCCACTGCGGATGCCCTGGATCTCTACGAAAAGCTTGAGGTGCCGATTCTAATTGCGAGATAAGTAGACAGATAGAGACTAGCAATACCAGGCGAGAAAAGGGCTCCATTTCTTTGAGAACTTGTGAAGTCTCTCTATTTGTGTTTTAATTCGTTATATTTTAGTCCTTCTGGCGTGTAATCGCCATGGCTGACGAAGTGACGAGGTTCTCAGCTCTTGATCAAAAAGAGAAGAATTCTGAGTTTCTGACCTTATAGGTCACAACAACGGAAGCCGATCTCGTCACAACGGTATTTTGTCAAAGACCCTGAACTTTTTTTTTCGACGAAGACCCCTTTTATTTTGGCCGTTAGACAAAAGTCCCCCTTCGTAATTAAATCGCAAACAGAGAAACAATAAAGAACACATTCATAAGCACCATGAAATGCAGCGTTCAGGTAATGTCATCCAAACTCCTGTAAATCTTCTCCTCTGACAACCGTAAAGAGGAGATAATCAAATATAAACAAGAAAGTAAGAGAGAATAATCTATCGGATGACTACTTTGTTTGATCAATCCAATTGATTGGATTATCTCCTCCTCTTCATTCTCAACCTCTGAAAGAGGGGTAACGCACAATGAATTCATGCTTGCAGATACCAAACCCCGCGGTGCAGCTCGCGACGGCAAAAAGAGGGGTAACGCACAATGAATTCAAATGGCACATGGTAGCTAACTAGCCCGCAACCGTGGCCGAATTCCTCAAGCTCGCGGACAAGTTCATGAGGACAGAGGAAGAAATCAACCAACGAACCGAGGGGCGGGAAC